CTCAGACAAACACACATCAGCACAGTCAACACAGACACACTTTCTCTCTTTCACACACACACACACACAGAAGCTATTGCACACACACATTCAGTCCTACAAACACACTCATGTACACACACACACACACACACACACACTCTCTCTCTCTTGTCAGTGTGTTGTTTGTGATCTCCTGTTTGTCCTGCAGCTCGTAATGAACAGGAGCAGATGGAGGAGAAGAGAGAGATCAGACGCAAACTCTCACGCAAGGTGTGTGTGTGTGTGTGTGTGTGTGTGTGTGTGTGTGTGTGTGTGATTGTTATGTGACGTGATGTGTGTGTTTATGTCAGCTTGTATTTGTGTGTGTAACAGTGCTGTGTGTGTGTGTGTGTGTGTGTTCAGCTCAGTCAGAGGCCTACAGTAGAGGAGTTGCGGCGAGCGAAGATTCTGATCCGCTTCAGTGATTATGTGGAGGTGTCAGACGCTCAGGATTACGACAGACGCACAGACAAACCCTGGACCAGACTGACGGCGGCCGACAAGGTCACACCAGCACCTCTGCTCATCAATAACACACAATCAATAACTATCAACAACAATCAATAACACACGATCAATAACTATCAACAACTATCAATAACACACGATCAACAACTATCAATAACAATCAATAATATACGATCAATAACTATCAACAACTATCAATAACACACGATCAATAACTATCAACAACTATCAATAATACACGATCAATAACTATCAACAACAACCAATAACAATCAATAATATACGATCAATAACTATCAACAACTATCAACAACAATGAATAACACACGATCAATAACTATCAACAACTATCAATAACACACGATCAATAACTATCAACAACTATCAATAACACACGATCAATAACTATCAACAACTATCAATAACACACGATCAATAACTATCAACAACTATCAATAACACACGATCAATAACTATCAACAACTATCAATAATACACGATCAATAACTATCAACAACTATCAATAACAATCAATAATATACGATCAATAACTATCAACAACTATCAACAACAATGAATAACACACGATCAATAACTATCAACAACTATCAATAACAATCAATAATATACGATCAATAACTATCAACAACTATCAACAACAATGAATAACACACGATCAATAACTATCAACAACTATCAATAACACACGATCAATAACTATCAACAACTATCAATAACACACGATCAATAACTATCAACAACTATCAATAATACACGATCAATAACTATCAACAACTATCAATAACAATCAATAATATACGATCAATAACTATCAACAACTATCAACAACAATGAATAACACACGATCAATAACTATCAACAACTATCAATAACACACGATCAATAACTATCAACAACTATCAATAACACACGATCAATAACTATCAACAACTATCAATAATACACGATCAATAACTATCAACAACTATCAATAACAATCAATAATATACGATCAATAACTATCAACAACTATCAACAACAATGAATAACACACGATCAATAACTATCAACAACTATCAATAACACACGATCAATAACTATCAACAACTATCAATAACACACGATCAATAACTATCAACAACAATCAATAACACACGATCAATAACTATCAACAACAATCAATAACACACGATCAATAACTATCAACAACAATCAATAACACACGATCAATAACTATAAACAACAATCAATAACACACGATCAATAACTATCAACAACAATCAATAACACACGATCAATAACTATCAACAACTATCAATAACACACGATCAATAACTATCAACAACTATCAATAACTCACGATCAATAACTATAAACAACAATCAATAACACACGATCAGTAACTATCAACAACAATCAATAACACACGATCAGTAACTATCAACAACTATCAATAACACACGATCAATAACTATCAACAACAATCAATAACACACGATCAATAACTATCAACAACAATCAATAACACACGATCAATAACTATCAACAACAATCAATAACACACGATCAATAACTATCAACAACTATCAATAACACACGATCAATAACTATCAACAACAATCAATAACACACGATCAATAACTATCAACAACAATCAATAACACACGATCAATAACTATCAACAACAATCAATAACACACGATCAATAACTATCAACAACTATCAATAACACACGATCAATAACTATCAACAACAATCAATAACACACGATCAATAACTATAAACAACAATCAATAACACACGATCAGTAACTATCAACAACAATCAATAACACACGATCAGTAACTATCAACAACTATCAATAACACACGATCAATAACTATCAACAACAATCAATAACACACGATCAATAACTATCAACAACTATCAATAACACACGATCAATAACTATCAACAACAATCAATAACACACGATCAATAACTATCAACAACTATCAATAACACACGATCAATAACTATCAACAACTATCAATAACACACGATCAATAACAATCAACAACAATCAATAACACACGATCAATAACTATCAACAACTATCAATAACAATCAATAACACACAATCAATAACTATCAACAACAATGAATAACACCTGATCAATAACTATCAACAACTATCAATAACACATGATCAATAACTATCAACAACAATGAATAACACATGATCAATAACTATCAACAACAATCAATAACACACGATCAATAACTATCAACAACAATCAATAACACACGATCAATAACTATCAACAACACTCGACAACAATCAACAATGATCAACGACACTTGATGACACTTGACTATATTCGAGGACACTCAGCAACACTCAGCAACACTATTATTATGTCACGTTACTGTGGAAGTCAGTGGTCACAGGTTTCCAACATTCTTCAAATTATCTCCATGATCTGAAAACAAACATGTGAAAGTGTCACAGCGACCGTGATGGATT